ATTTCAATTCGAAATCGAAGTCTTTTATTGCAGTTAACGAGCTAACCCCGTTAGCTGGGGCCCTTCATCCATCCACTGAGTGGATGGCTGGAGAAAAGACCCCAAGAAACCACGAGGCAGGGATCTTATAGTGCAGCTTAAGGGGAGTGTCTAGGGTTATGCAACAGTCTCGGGATTGGTGCACTTCTGGACCTGGGCAACCTGCCCTGTGTTGATTGGCCAACTGGTTGTTATGGCCCACAGTCCCTCCCAGGGCAGTTGCTATGTTCTATATGTCACTGTTGTGCACTTGTCCATAAAACACACCCAGAGCCATTAAGCACAGCCCTGCCAGCTAACTTCTGATTGGTTCCTTGCCATGCAGAGGGCATCTGACCTCCTAGTGACCATGACAGGAGGGACAAGGTCAGGCAAGCACATGTTAGCCTGTCATGGCTGCTAAAATGGGGGCTGGTCCCTTCAAGATTACCTTATGTTTCATATACACCATATATACATAGCTTGAAAGAAATTGCATACAACATTTCTTACTGTGTCTTAATTTTGACCTTGTCCTGTGTCATGATGTTAAGTGTGGGATTTTCTTTATGGTATCTTGTTGGTGTCTAAAACATTTTAGATTTCTAATGAAAGATGTTCATTGTAATACTGGATTTTTGCTCTTGTGTTCTTCCTCCCTCCCTTCCTCCCTCCCTCTCTCCCTCCTTCCCTCCCTTCTTTCCTTCCATTTTATTGATAGTGTCTCACTATGTAGATCAGGTTGACCTTGAATTGCCAAGCTTTCTACCTTAGCCTACTGAGTGCCAAGATCACAAGTGTGTATCACCGCCATGTCAGCTATGCAGCTTCTATAGTATTTCCCACAGCAGGGAATCTGAAGTTCAGATGTTTATGTAGTATTCAGGAGTAGCAGGTACTTAACTTGAGACATAAGTCCTTTATGTCCTTTTAAATTGCTTTAAAACAATTAGGTGTCAGGGATTGAACCTAGGTCCCCATACATGCTAAACATGTACTTCTACTGCTGAGCTCTTCTGCAGCTCCTATTCTGTATGCTTATCGAAGAGATATATGTTCCTAAAATAATTGTGATAAAGCAAAATGTTTTGATCAAGTAGTAATACAGACTATAAAATGTATTACTGAACCATGCCTGTTTTTAATCAAGCTGATTATTTCAAATACAGTTTTTTTCAAAGATCCATAAAATTATTGTAGATCTAGGTGATGTCTTAAAAACATTTGCATGGAAAGAGCAGTACCGGTAGTACTCATAATCTTAAGATAGCTAATGTAGGGAGAAGGAGTTCTATTTCACTTAGTGAGGTGGAGAGGTATGAGTGCTTTCATTTGAGCCTGAATGTAGGGGCCCCCACAATTGCCAAAATAATGGAGCACTTTGTTAAATGGAGACACTTTCATGTGTGTTACTCCTAGATAGAGCAGCCCTTAAAAACTCTTTTTCTTCTGCCAGCATCTGAGTGTACTCTGAACACTGACTACTTCACTCCATTTAGAGCCTGCAAGTATAGATACTCATATGTGATCTGCTCAATATCAGACCTGCACAGTCAATAGGAAGATCACCGGTTGATTCTTCCATTAAAAAAGTGCACCAATCAGGGGCTGTGGTACAGACAATGTTATTTCGGGACCATCAGCATCACCTGGAATATTGGTAGGAGGTGAACATTTTTAGATCCTGTACTAACTGAACCTGAAGCTCTTGATTGCATGTGTGTTAATAAGTGCTATGTGTTATGGATTACATTAATTTGTGTTAAAGTTTGAGAATGCCCTTGTACCAGTATGTCTTTTTTTAAATAAAATTTATTTATTCTGTGTGTTCTTCATATCATGTACCTTGATCCCATTCATTTCCTGTCCCTTTGCATCTGCCCTCCACCTCTGCACCCCCTCCAATATAACAAAATTCAAGAGAAAATGAAAATAAAATGAGAAAAAAAATTAAAAGGAATTTAAAAATCTTGTCATGGAAGCTGCTGTGAGACCCAACAAGTCACACCATATACCCCATTGTCTATAAATTTTACTTACAAGTGTTCATTGCAAAGAATCATTGGTCTTGTTCAAGGCCCCTGGTCTCCATTATACAGTTGATGCTAGGCCCCCTCCTGGACATCCCTCTGCCCCCCTGTGTTGTGGAGATCCTGCAGCTTTGGGTCTGCGAATCAGGTCCCTTCACATGCTCCAGAAGATCACAGATGGGTTGGCTGTTGGGGCAGTCCAAGTCATAACCTTGGGTCTGGGCCTGGGCAACTGTAGTGTTGGTCTACCAGATAGGAAATGGGGACAGCTCTCTCATGGTCACAATTTCATTGCTGGATCACCTACCCCTGGTCTAACAGTGTTAGCTCTGTTGTGCTGCCCTGGAGAGATGCAGAGCCTGTTCTCTCTAGTGTTGCAGCTGATGGGGGTCAGGTATGGCTCTCTCACACTTATGACCACAGGGCAAGTTCTCCCACCTACACCAGGTGTTGATGGGTGGGGATGGGGGAGGAGGGTAGTTCTCCCCCATCCAGGCCACCACAGGACAGATGGGTAATGACAACTTTCCCATAGTCATGGTTTGGGGATGGCTCACCCATACCTGAGTTAACAAAAGTGGCTCTATTATCCTGTCCTGGCAAGGTGCAGGGCCCACTCTCCCACCTGCCCCAGGGGTTGATGGGTGAGTGAGGGCAACTTCTCCTTAATATCAGTGTGTTTTAAGCACATGGAGAAGTATACTTTAAATTATGACTCCATATACACTGCCCCGGTTAGTTTTTATTGTCACCTCAAGACAACCAAAAGTCCCCAGGTGAAGATGAGACTTCTTCCACAAGTACCCAGTGCTTGTTTGATCACGGCTTCTGAGATCCATGCTGCTGTGTTAGTCTCTGAACTGGCCCACTTACCTTTTCTTCTGTGCTTCTTGGCCTGCTCTTAGTAAAGGTATAGACTAGTCATTTTCAGATGCTCCCTCTGCCTCTGTGTAGTGTATGTTTTTGTCCTGCCCCAGCTTCTTAACCTTACCATTTCTGCAGGGTTCACTTCCTCAGAGAACCTTCCATAAGCATCTTCCAAATTAGGTCACCCTCTATGGGAATCCCTGGGGGAGTTCCTCTTTTATTAGCAGAAGTCTCTAAATACACAGATTATGATTATTGTCCCTCTGTTGGGGAAAAGGATAATTAACCTATACTTGTTAAACACATCAGACTAAGAAGAATTTCCAGAGATGAAGTTTGCACTTTATGAACATTAAATGGTTGCAGAGTTATTTTTAGAGTTATCTCAAAATTCTGCAAGTTAACTTTTTATAATGGTCTAGAAAAACAAGGTGGTGGGGGAGAGCGACAGGGATGACACTGCTTGCTGAACTGGCCTGTCCTGGGGGGATGGCGTTGTAATTCTATCATTGTCTGTCATTTCTGCTTTAAAGGCTGTCATAGAACTCCGAAGATACCCTTGTTTCAAGTAGGTACTTGGTTGTTCATATAACCCTGGATGTCATTGTCCTTCAGGATGAATGGTCAGTTGTGGGTCAGACATGAGAACAGATGGTTCATAGTCAAGATAGAAACCAGTGTAGGAATTCTCAAAAGGATTGTAAGTCACTTGACAGCCAAGTAAAAACTATTGATAATGCCTCTTCTCTAATCTCATCCTGTTTCACTTCATATACCTGCATGTGCTAGCCTGCCTCCTGTGAATGAAAACTGGATCTGGTGTTTTCCGTCACAGTAGAGACAAGAGAATGCATATAGATCAAATTTCATCCAGAGCTTAGTTTTAGGCCAGAAATAGGAACCACTCAAGTTTTGACAGTTGCCTAAAGCATTCAGGAAGGAGGTCTTGGGGATTCAAAATTGTGATGTAAACCACCTTTCCCAGTGGTGTGTGTGTGTGTGTGTGTGTGTGTGTGTGTGTGTGTGTGTGTTTGTATCAGCTTTTAAAGAATTATGGAGGACACTGGGCAGATGCTCAGATTTAAGACAGATAGCATCAGGAAGGGCTAGCAGTTCTGTGTGTGCCATGTTTAGCTGCATGGTGTTTCTGATGGACAGATGTGATCATTCTTGGAGAAAGACTTCTTTCTTTTTAGGGTAGCTTAAAATTCATAGAGAGAAATAGTTTAAAATTTTAAACTAATATTACTTAATGATATTCATCAATCAGAAAGGCAGCATAATGAATAGCTTTTGTTTGTTTGTTTATTTTTTTATTTTGTTTTTCTCTGAGGCAGAGGTTCTCTGTGTAAAAGCCCTGGCTGTCCTGGCACTTACTTTGTAGACCAGGATAGCCTCGAACTCAAGAGATCCTCCTGTCTTTGCCTCCAGAGTGCTGGGGTCTTTATGCTACCAAGTCTGGCTTATAAAATAGTTTTTAATAGCTAAAAGTAACATAAGCTTACTGTGTATGTGTGCATGTGAGAGCCTGTTCATATGGGTGCATGTATGTGAGTGTGAGTGTAAAAGCTAGGGGTCAGCCCTTGGTGTCATTCCTCGGGAGCCAATCACTTTGAAGCAGGGTCTTGTTGTTCTGTAGCTCACTGAGGAATCAAGGCTGGAGAGCCAGCCTCCCCAGGGCTGGAACTACAAACCCATGCCTCCAGCACCTGCTTTTGAAAATCTAAATTCTAGATATTGGATCCAGGTCTGTATGCTTATATGGCAAACACATTATTAACTGAGCTCTCCCCAGCTATGTAAACTTTTTAGAACAGTTGATCATAAACCTGCTTCACAGTCATGGCAGCCTTTCGTGTGTTCTTTTCTTCCCTCATGGATGTCATATGTATATTATTTTTTTGTCTGGGGCTCACTGCTAAAATTGTGTATCCCGATTGTATTCTGATTTTTCCTGTTTCATTTTGAGTGATTATACATCACAGTGGCTTAATCATTCTCTTCTAGGGTAATTTTTCTTCTTGGGTAATTATTATTTGTTGTGCTGTATTGTAATGATGCCTTTGTTTGGTTCTCATCCTGCAGGCAGAGACATTTGTTTGGGTTAACAATGCATCAGCACATTCCCAGAGTGTTGCCAAGGCAAAGTACGAATTTTTATTTGGGAAGTCAGAAGACAAAACTCCAGATACTAGTAAGTGCTTTCCAACATTGTCTTGCAGGTAAAACATATGTGGCCCCAATGATTTCTGGGTATTGTACTTGCCTACATCACTTCCTGCTTCCCCTGGTGAAGCCTATGTGTGTGCTCCAATTCTTCCCAACACCAGAATCAGATATAGTTCCTACCACCTCCTCTCAGTAGTTTCAAGTCATGTTCACTGAAGAAGTTTCAGCTTCTGAGACTTCAGATTTCAAGCATTAACTAATTCTCATTAAGATTTTATTGTCCACATTTACCATTGTTCTATAAACCTACACTTTATTTTTGTCTACCTTATGGAGAGTCAATTCCCCAAATTTTTCAGTCAATGCAATATTAAGAGACCTTTTTTTTTCTTTTGAAAGACTATTTGTCCAATCTAACTGTCCAATTCCAAAATTAGAAGCAACCCTTTTCAAAACAGCTTAGAACAAATAGAACTAATATTAGTACTAATATCAGTAATCCTATTGCCTAACTTATCGTGTCAGCACTGTACTATGTACTTTGAATACTGTATCTTATTTGATTTTCAGGGAAAGTCCATACATTGCTATTGTTCTCCCCATTCTTAGGAGGTGGACTCTTCATTAATTTCCTTCCATTTGCAATCAATTACTCACAATAGGTCGAAAATTTTAATCCATGTTGCCTGACCTCAAGTGTGAGCTTTCAGTCCATTGGAGCAATGCATTCATGAATACATTTTCCTAAAGAAGGGTGTAAAATAGACACTTTTATAGCTTTTCAGAACACTTCTCTGTGTCTATGGAAGACCAGTGGTGAAGGGAGATATTGGCTTTTGGGGGGACAGAAAGGGCCAAGAGCTTGTGCTTTGGAGTTAGACTTACTGAGTTTGAATCCTGGGCTTGTAACTCAAAACTTTGTTGCATTGTGTGAACTATCCAACTTCAATTTTTTAATCTGTAAAAATGGATTGCAGTGATATGTCTCAGGTATTTTGAGGATTTAGATTGCGATATGCAAAGGTCTCAGAATCATGCTTGGTACTTAGCAAGTGCTTCTGGTTTTTGTTGTATTGATAAGGACGAGTAGCATACCCTCAAGTCCGTACCCCAATCTGCAACAGTGACATGTAGAATGGTAATCATTATTGTTTTCACCTGTCATTATCTAACCCTTTCTGTTTTACTTGTATAAGGAATTTGACCCAATGAGGTTGGTGTTTGGTTGAAAACAAAACTAGTAATTCTATCTTAGATTGGCATGTTAGGAGGGGTTATATAACAATATTTTAAGCTTTCCAAGAAGTTACTACATTCCGATTCACTTCATTCTTTTAGTCTTAAAGTGAATATTAATTAATATTTCAGTATTTAGAAATGTTTTGATTCAGTACAAAGCAGTGAAATGACTTAAAAATATCATTTTTGTTATAGTTTCTAAATTTGTAATCACATTAGCACAGTTTGAAACTCTTTGGCTACTTTTAACGTTGAATGCCACAATGTGGTTCTGTGCTTTTTTTACTTTTTTTTTACTCTGATGAAGCACAATTTTTACTTACCTATGCAAACAATGTGGTGTACTTTCTGTGACAGTGTGAATGTAGCTATTGGCAAGAATGTACATCTGCTGGGTCTCTTACATACAGTTGTGTGAACTACTTAAAAAGCAGTTAAGTTAAACATTTACCTTTTGTACTGCCTGACATTTTATTCCTCAATATTTATCCAAGAGAAATTCAAATTTATTCCCACTTTACAGGAAAGTTTACAACACTCCTCCCCTTTTGTTTTGCTGCATGGGAGATGGAGCACATGAGAGTTTATGCTGTTTAATAATAAGAAGTGACTGAATTGAGGAAGTGAATGCACGCATAGTCCGTAGACTCTGTGTGGTATTTTTCAAACCTTGTCTTTCCTCCTTTAATATAATTGGCTTTGATGTGATACACTGTATAAGCTGGAGTCTCTTCTATTATTGGCCCTTGAGATTTGACCTTGAAAACTACATGAAAAGCACTTGAAAAGAAAGAATCACACACAAGTTCCTGGGTCAGAGGCATGCCTTTTTTCCCTTTCTTTCTTTTTCTATTTCTTTGTGTTTTAAAATTCGTATCATTATTGTAAACCAATGTGAGAGCATGGTTGAAAATTTAAGTCCAAACTGTAGAACCAAAAAATAAAATGGAAAGGGGAGGAGAAATGTGTAATTTTATAGTCTTAAGACTTGTTCAAGGCTAATATTTTATAAGTCCTTTGAAGTCATTATTATAATTTAAAATATAATGCTATAAGTATTGTATTATATTTTTGGTTATGGGCTTCATCTTTAAAAGCTGAGCTATCTTTCCAGCCCTAAGTATTATATTATAAATATATGTAGAAACAATAGAATTTTAGAAGCATTTTTCATTATAATGATAAAATACGAAGATCTCTGTTTTACTAAGTCTTGTTAAATGATTAAATGCTATTTTAATGTCCTGGGCCTATTACCTCGTCCCTCCTGTTTTAACATCTTATATTTCTGGTAATTGTACCCAAACTTGTAATTTTATTAGGGTTGTAGAGTTTAGCTAATGTTATGGAGTATCCAAACCTAAATGAAATATATGGTAATTCCAGCTACTCTAACACCCTCTAAAGTATGGAATATATTCAGAAACTTTCTGCAGTATTCTGGATTGAGTTGACACAGAACAGAATAAAACAGCAGATCTTGTGTAGAAAGGAGAGCTTGACAGAAAGGACCTCTATGTGCTGGACAAAGAAGAAATCAATCTCAGAGAAAAGCGGGGGCCCATCCATCAGTGGGCCCAGAAGAGGATATCTTTCTCTGATAAGAACAATTCAGGTGCCCACCAGCTTCAAGACAAGAAACTAGCATAGAGTTTATTCAAACTGGACACTGTTCATGGAAGTTATGACTAAGAAAATAGTGCATTACCTAGAAGCTGTTATATGGGCCTGTGGCTTGACATAGCAGTTTCCCCCTGACATAGCAGGGGGAAAATTCACTTCTTGTGCAATTGAAGCCCAAAGTTGGGAGAGGGCACCACAGTAGTCTGTGCAATGTCTAGAGAATGACATAAAACTGGTTTTAGGATGATAAAATGTTACAAACTGTTGGTGAATTTAATGCAACATCGCTCAGTGGACCACTTTTGCGGTTATGGACATGTAAAGCTCTACAGTAACAAACTCTAAAATTAAAGCTCACAATTAGTATCATTTGCACAAAGCAAGGGACTTTATGGGAACAACACGGATATCAAGACCCAAAGAGTGAGAGCAATTGAATTTTATGAAAATACAAAATAGTTTTCTGTAAAAATAAAATGGGGGAAACCATTAAGATAAAGCAGGAGCATGCGAGGTAAACATGCACATGCTTAGGGAAATAGTCTTTGTGCCTTCTGAGAATTTAAAAATACAGGTAGTAGGTTGGAGAGATGGCTCGGTGGTTAAGAGCACTGGCTGCTCTTCTAGAGGACCCAGGTTCAATTCCAAACACCCACATGGAGGCACAGAACTGTGTAAACCCTGTTCCAGGGAATCTGATGCCCTGATATAGACATACATGCAGGCAAAACACCAATGCTTGTGAAATACAAATAAATAAATCATTAAAATTTTTACAAAAATATAGATAGTGAAGTGGAAAAAACAATGGGTATTAGGTATAAGTTTATTTGGTTTGTGGTTAGTTTAATTGTTCAATTGACACATTTGGGAAGAGAGGCTCGGTGAAGGATGGTCTGTGTTGGGTTGGCCTGTGAAGGACTTTTCTAATTTTGGTCATTTGAGGTGGGAAGACTCATTCTGAATATGAGCAGTGCCATTTTAGGGTTGGACCTTGAACTGTGTGAGTAGAAAAGGGAATTGTGCAGTAAGCATGCATGCAGCCTTCATGTCCTTGTGCTCTCGAGTATAAATGTAACCAGTGGCTTCAGGTTCCTGGTGTGGCTCTCCTGTGGTGATGAACTAACTATATAGAACCTGGAACTAATTGACAGGCAAGTAATAGCCCCTCTCTGTCCAGTGTCACTTTCTATCAGTGCATTTTTTATCATAGCAACAGCAGTGGAACTAAGACAGGGTTGTGTTTAATTTCTGAAGGAGAGTCTGATGATCTCCTTTCACGATATCCCAGTGCTCCAGTGATACTGTAGGAAAGTGAGCAGGGAAGAAAGAAAGAAGAGCCTTAATTCCCAGCAAGAGTTTCTCACACTGGTAGTTTCCCTCTCGTATCATTTATATTTTCACGTTCCGTATCTGAATGTATACCTTTTTGTTCAGTTTTCAGTTAATATGCACCACATATTGTTCCAGGCCTTAGTGATAGCTTTTGATTTCTATTTTATGTTTTTATTTATTGACCTTTTCTTTGTGTGTGTGTGGGGGGGGTGGGCATTCCAGGAACCTACTGTCCTCCTGCCTCATTCTCCTTAGCTTCTGGATTCCAGGTCTGCTCCACCATATTGAGTAAGATAGCTTTAGGTTTTAACTAAATGAGTGCTGTGATTAAAGGTTTGTGCCACTGCGGTTCAATCTTAACTACGTGAAAATCCCCATTTATCAAATTGCCTAATAGAACGATTGTTCTGGTTTATATTCTCATTGCCAAATTTAAGCAGGGAAATGGGCTTATTCATTTTTAGTTTGTTAGATGTAGACATTTATTTTTTTATTTACAAATAGTATATGTTATCATAAGTATAATGTGAATTTTTGATTTTTATTTCTAAAACAATGTGTATGGATGTCTAAGAAATGGAGTCTTGACTAATTATATAAGACAAAAGAAATCCAGAGGGTCAGCTCCCATCCCTCCCCATCTCTACTACTAACACAGTGGTCTTCGACCCTTTTCTCACACATTCTGTGAGCCCTTTCTTTCTCTTTACTCTCAGCCAACACTCCATCCCTGATGGTGATTTTGGGCCATTGCTTGGTCGTTTTGTTCTTTTTCCTGTGTTTAAATTTGCTTTTATCAAACATTACTGGCAGTTGCCTCATTGATAC